CGCAAATATATTTAATGTAAACTACAGAAAAACACTACATTAAAATTGAAATGAGAAAATATTTTAAAAGAATTAGAGAAGGGCAAAAATATAAGATAAAGAGAAAAATATAAATAATAATAAAACTATGTATTTGCTACAATAGGCTCACACACTTGTGATTCTAAGCATTCTTTTTTTAAAAAATCATTTTATTGGGGGCTCTTACAACTCTTATCACAATCCATACATACATCAATTGTGTAAAGCACAAGAGTGGCGATACTGGGAAGATAGAGGATAGGGTGGAAAGGGGGAACCGATTACAGGGATCTACATATAACCTACACCCTGGGGGGTGGACAACAGAAAAGTGGGTAAAAGGAGATGTCAGACAGTGTAAGATAATGACAAAATAATAATTTTTTCCCACACTGATACATTTATTTAAAAATATATATAGACTAATGGCTCTGTGCTCAAATATCATTGCAGTTCTGTGCTGACTTCCACAAAATGTAACTTAACTGTCATGGACTCTTCACAACTACATTCTGGACAAAAAGAAAAAGGTCCACAGAGATGGAGGTCAAGACAGACCTGCTGCAGACACTTGTGATGAAAACTTGCTGGGCAATGAAGTCTGACATGATGCAATTATAATTACATCAACATTCACGGAGGCCGAGTAGCAGAGGCAAATGGGTGCGATATCACAAGAAATATTTTCACGTTTCCCAATTAAGTTTATATAGTCAGTCAGGCACCAGAAAAAAACAAACCAAAACTTTTTCTTGTCAATTTTTAAGTCCATCCAATCAGAGTCGGTATATCTTTCTGGGTCTATTCATTTTCAGATGGGAAGACTGGAACCAGATTCTTCACATTATACGTTCTCAGGTGATGCCACATCTTCATATACTATCCAATTTCTTTAAGATAAACTGAGTGACTCGCAGCATGGGCACGTAAATAAGAAAGTTCCCTATGGAGGAGATCACGTCCTCGTGCATCTTCCGTTTCATTTCCTCAGCGTCCAGCGTCAGCGCGAGGTCCTCAATCCAAAACATCATGGCTGGGCTTTAGCAACTCCTCGCTAGGGATCTAGGTGCTTCTCAGATTGCCGCCCGACAAAATAATAGTTTATAAATTATCAAAGGCTCATGAGGGAGTAGGGAGTTGAGAGGGAGGGGGAAAATGAGGAGCTGATGCCAGGGGCTTAAGTAGAGCAAATGTTTTGAGAATGTACAAATGTACTCTGTCTTGTTTTTGTGCTTATTATTGTCTCTGCATGTCTATCTAGATAAGATAGTCGGGATAAACAATCTGGAGGAGAAAACAATGGGACTGACAGTTCTGGGGGAGGAGGTGGGGAAAAGGATGGGGGATGTCAACCAACCCAGGGACAAGGGAACAAGTGATCTAAAATCGAAGGCAAGGAGGGCATAGGATGCCTGATGGGGTTTGATCAAGGACAATGTAGCCGAGAGGAATTACTGAAACATGAATGAAAGCTGAAAATGATAGTGGGACAAGAGGAAAGTAAAAGGACATAGAGGAAAGAACAAGGAGGCAAAGGACATTTATAGAGGTCTAAATACAGGCGTGTACATATGTAAATATATTTATATATAACGATAAGGAAATAGATCTATATACACATATTATATGTTAAGTATTAAGGTAACAGACACTGGGCCTCTACTCAAGTACTCCCTCAACGCAAGAACACTTTGTTCTAATAACCTGGCATTCATGATACTCACATTCCCAACACGATCACTGAAGACAAAATGGGTGCATAAGCAAATGTGGTGAAAAAAGCTAAGGGTGCCTGGCTATCAAAAAAGATAGCAATCTAGGGTCTTAAAGGCTTGAAGATAAACAAGCAGCCCTCTAGCTGAGAAGCGACAAAGCCCACATGGAAGATGCACACCAGCCTGTGTGATCACGAGGTGTCGATAGGATCAGACATCAAAGACCCAGAACAAAAAATCCTATCAATGTGGATGAGGGGGAGTGTGGAGTGGAGCCCCAAAGTCGATCTGTAGACAATTGGACATCCCCTTACAGAAGGGTCACAATGAAGAGACAAGCCAGTCAGGGTACAGTGTAGCACCGATGAAACATACAACTTTCCTCAAAATTTTTTAATGCTTCCTTCCCACCCCCCACTATCATGATCCCAATTCTACCTCACAAATCCAGCTAGACCAGAGCATGTACACGGGCACAGGTTAGAGCTGGAAACATAGGGAATCCAGGACAGATAAACCCCTCAGTAGTGATACCAGGAGGGTAAGGGTAAGGTGGGAGGAGAAAGGGGGGAACCAATTACAATGATATACATATAATCCCCTCACAGGGGGACGGACAACAGAAAAGTGGGTGAAGGGAGGCACCGGTCAGTGTAAGACATGAAAAACAACAACAACAAAAACATTATTATCAAGGGTTCATGAGGGAGGGTGTGAGAAGGGGAAAAATGAGCTGATACCAAGGGCTCAGGTAGTAAGAAAATGTTTTGAAAATAATGATGGCAACATATGTCCAAATGTGCTTGACACAATGAATGTATGTATAGATTGTGATAAGAGCTTTACAAATCTCCAATAAAATAATTTTTCTATAAAAAAAAGAACTACACCCCAAATAAAAACGTATAATGTACACATTATGTAGGTAGAAATACAAGAGTCCGTGAACCAGCACTTCATCCTTTTTTACATCTGAATAATATGACACTTTATCCATTCCCAAGTTGACAGATGAGTTGCTTCAAATGAGTTGCTGCTACCTTTGGCTAATATTAACGATATTGCTATGATCATTCATGTAAATGCTTTTGTATGAACATAATTTTTCAGATACATACCTAAGAGTGGAATTGATGTCAGAATGGCTATTCTATATTCAAATTTTTTTTAGGAATTGTGAAATTATTTTCTACATACAGAGGTTGCATCAATTTTCATTCAACCAGCAATAACAAAAGGTTTCAAGTTCACCACATCCTCAGAGTATTTGTTATTATGTGTTTGGTACTGTATTAAAAAAATTATCCAAGACCACACTTATTTTCACCTAGGTATCTTTTGAAGGGTTCTAGAATTTTAAGTCTTACAATTTACAATTTTTGTGTATGGTTGAGGGAGGGGTGCAGATTCACTTTTCTGCATGTGGATATTTCTTTGTCTAGGAATCAATGGTGGAAAAGGTGATTCTTTTCCAAATGAATGGCCTTGGCAACCTTGCTAAAAAGCCCACTAACCATAAATCACACTAAAATACCAGTTGCTGCTGAGTAGACTGATTCTTGGCAACCCTATGTACAAAGAACTGCATTTTATAAGAAGTTCAGTGGCTGATTTTTCAGAAGTAGACTTTCATGTCTTTCTTCTGAGGCACCTCTGGGCCAACTGTAACCACCAACTCTCATTAACAGTTGAGCATCTTAACCATTCTAATTACTCAAGGACTCCAATCCATTTGAACAGTATAGATTTTTCTTTTTAATAGATACTGAAATGATTTCTCAGGCTTAAACCAAAACCAAAACCAAACCACTTCAATGTTTGTACACAGGAATCACAGTGCCATTACTTTCTGAATAACTGAAGATACAATAATTCTTTAGGCATTCCATTCTACTGCTACCCGTCAGATGAATAAGAGTGAAATCTTGTTAGGATAATTAATTTTGCCAAGATCTCTGCCTAGTCTTAGACAGAGATGGAAACACAAGCAATTAGCATTAATCCAAAGTGTTACTTTTGAGTACTTTATTGATTTAGACACTATTCTCAATCAAAAAAGGACTTAGGGACACTTAAAAATACATGCATGATTAAAAATAAGTATGCAAGGAGGGAAACAGAAGGAACAGTTTACGGCTAAATGTCCATTGCTATAGTTAAACTATAGAGCGTACAGTGCACTATAATACACTAATTAGAAAATAGAGTGTTTCAGCAGTCAAGTGGCTAAGAAACCAGCAATGACTTAAAAAGCAACAGACATCCTGACAAATTTGAGAATTTTCATATGTAAAACGCTTAAATCTGGAATAAGAGCCTTGAATTGGAAAACCATCAAATCTTTCTGCTTTGTTACATCCCTGACTGGCCCTGTGATATGTGAACTCATAAACTCAAGTGAGACCCTCTGCTGTCAAGTTGATTCCAACTCGCAGGGAACCTGTAAAAGATGGGAGCAGGACAAACTGCTCTCCTTCGGTTCCCAAAGCTGGAAATCTCTACAGAAGCAGACTACCCTGTCTTTCTCTCGTTGAGTGTCGAGTGGGTTCAAAATGCCAGCCTTTCCACTGTCAGCCAGAGCGCTTAACAACTGTGCCACCAAAGCTCTATGACACTGGTATGGGATCACTAAGTTTCTTGGGACCCAAGTTCTATTTTTCTTTCTCTACTAAAAAGATTTTTGGACTACATTTCTAAGAAACTTCTTTGTTCTTCAATCTCTAGGTCTGTAAGTCTAAAAATACATCTAAACGATATTCTTTTTATAAAATGTAAACACAGCACTAAAAATATGTGCATCGTATGCAGGTAAATTATGTGAAACTTTTATTTCAAGTCCTTGAATTAGATCATACAAATGTCACCATGAGGTACTGAGTAAAGTCCACATGGATACATACTACTTTCTTAAATAAGAATGTGTGTTGGGGAAATAACCACCAGATCAATACAATCAACTAAATGATACATTTAATTCCTATCTCACAATAAAAATGAGAATGGGTATTGTACCCATAACAAAAGAAAAGTCTTTGGGACCCAGTTAATAAACTTGGATAGATATAAAATATTAACACTCTGAACTTTAAAGCCACATGTTTCTTTTTTTTATTTTTTGGCATTTGTTAAGTGTAAAATTAATTTCACAATTTAGGATGCAGTCACATTTCAATTACATTTTGGTGTTTTTTGCTATATTTGCCAGGCTCCAGGGGCTGCTTTTATTTATAGTAAACAGGTTCAAACTCATTTCTCACTGTCACCCTGTTGCCCTAAACCTAGGAGGCCCAAGTTAGAGCAATTTCTGTATTAGAAATGCTTTTACAGTAAGAGTTTTGCTCTTTTATATGTATTTTTTGGCAAGTGTTCCATGGTAACATCTACATGTCTGGGTTTATTTTAGCTGTTTTCCTTTCACAATCCAAGGAAAATTATAAATCACTCTGATGCTTTAGAAGGTAGCTAGGTGGGCAGAATACAAAGCCCTACCTGCACCTGCATTCCTCCTGAAGCTGGGTACTTCTCCAACCATCACTTTGGTCCCTCTGGTAGTATGTGCTTCTCTTCCACCTAGAATGGAGTGGTTCTAGGGAGAAGAAAAATGAATCATAACCTCCCAGATTGGCATGTGTCTGTGGTACACCTGCCCAGAAGGCAGCAGCAGGGAAAGCTCTGGGTAGCAGGCCACTTTCTATTTCATTGTTCATTTGGTTAAATAATGAAACTGTCCTTGGTAGGGGTGAGAGCCTGGACAAGGAAGGCAATATTACTTTTTCTTGAGTTTCTCAGCCTCAACAAAGGTCTGTCAGCTGGTAGGGCCAAATTTGATTTTAATGAAGCATATTGCCATTACTAACAAATTCAATTAGGAAAATAAAAGTATTTGCTTACTTATTGGATATCTGGGAGCTTCAAACTGTTAAGTCTCGAGTACTAGCAAAAAGTTGGCAGTTCAAAATCACCCAGACACACCCTGGAAGACAGGCTTGGTCATCTGCTCCTGAAAGTTCAGAGCCTTGAAATCGCTGTGACCAGCTTTACTCTGCACACCCGGGGCCACCATGAGTCAGAACTGACTCCACAATGGATTCGCGCATAGGAACAACTTTGATTTATAGCTCTTTGATAAATTTTCACCAATTCATCATTTACTATTATTATCATTCCCATTTGACAAACAAGGCTCAGAAAACATTAATGACTTTTCTACAGCTACGAAAATGTTAAGTATAAGAGCTGAGAATAGAGCTTCTAAATATCTAGATCAGGGATTGTTCATTAAATCCAGTTATAAAGTATTGGCTCAGAAGGTC